CACTGTCCTGCCTTTCATTACCAAGGGTTTTCAAACAAATATGTGCCCTCAACATGAGCACACTGCCTAAAGTTGGAAGGCCAGCAGAAGCATCTGTTCGATCTTTGAGTCAAAAGTCATCTAATGTTTTAGGAAAGCCTACATTTTAGAAAAACAACCTCCCGCCCCTTTCCTACCATCATCTCCACCCACTATAATACATAACTGGGCTCAGATCTCAAACAGGTTTGACAAAGTTCTAACATCAGTGCATTCTGTTCAACAATGAGAAAGAAGGAAATTGAATGGTGGCCACTGGCTTTGGAGGAGGGAGGGATTTAGAAGCTGGGGGTGGAGGAGGAGGATAGGCAGAGTATAAAAGTTGGAGACAGTAAAATCAGGAAAAGCATAATGTAAAATTGCAAAGCTGGGGATGGGCAATGGGAGGCGAAGATGACAGATGGGGCTGGCAGCCAGAGAAGGAAGGAGCTCTCTGGCAGGAAAAACTGGATGTGTAGATATGTAGCAGAGGGTGAGAAGAAAAAGGAAACACAGAAGAGCAAGTTTAGTCCAATTCCAAGAAAACTGCTTTCACTTATGCCCTAAGGAGCAAAAAACCTAGCCTCACTCCACAGAGGAGGGACCATCAGTGTTTTCTACAGCTGAAATTTTCATTTACCTCCAGGGCAATCATTGAACAGGTCATAAGACAAACTTCTCTCCCTCTCTCAGCTAACTACTGCCAAATCAGGCCTTTAAATCTAGCCTGCTTTTACTTTTTTTTTTAAACAGCTGATCCCCCTTCAAGCCCCTCTCTACTACTAATTCCCTGTGGGCGGCTCATGCTGTTCTCTCCTTTATGCCTCATAATAAAGAGGAAATGACAGCCAAGGACACAAGACCATTTCTCTCTCTCTTTCTTTCGCGCGCTCTCTCTCTCTCTCTCTCATCATGTACCTCAAAAAGATTTAGTAAGACAAACTGATACTGTGGTTATAGGCACAGTATTTCAAGTCTGTCTAAATAACTCTTAACTGCTAAGAGGCAGTATACACAAGTTACTTATACAGTCTGCCTACCCTTACTGTTCATTTAAGAAATGAAATTCCTTACACCAGAGGCAGCTCATAAGTCAATATATGCACTCATTCCATGTGTACCCAACCAAGGGTAAGGCAGGCCTGAGGATCTGGGAGTGGACGGAAATGGGGTAACCTCATTCTCTGCAGCAGGAAGGAGGTATATAGGTCTGATCTCATGGATTAGTCTAAACTATATTTAGAGATGTCAGTATTTACAAAGAATTTTCCAAATTCAAATCTTTTCCTTTCACATCTACCTCTATCAGGCAGACATAACAAGGGCTTGGAAATTAAGATTGTCCCCCATCACTAGCTTCTAAACCAGGGCCCATCCTTTATTCTGAAATTATACCATGCAAATAGCTAAAGGAATCTACTTGGCATATTTAAGCCAGCCTTCTGCTTTGGAGAAATGGGAAAATCTAGTTCAAAAGAGGCCCTGTTCCTAATTTTATGTTTTTAGGCAAGTGACCTAATCTCTCTGAGCTTCTTGCTAATCTGTAGAACAGAGCCAATAACAGTAGCAATGTCATAGAGTTATTGTGAGAATTATACTAAATAACACAGCATAAAAAAGTGCCTGGTACATGGTAAGTACTCAATGTTAGCATTATTATTCGTCTCTACAGAAATAATGCTTAACAAGTGATGTGCAGTAGCCTTCAGGACTGCTCCACAACAGGCTGGGAAGTTTGGATTATCCAAACTTCTTTAAGAAACAAAAAAATTAACCTGAGAATCAGAATGGAAATATTAATTGCAGAAGGCAATGAAAAAGAAAAGAATTCTTCATTCCTTTTTATCCTTAGAGCAATCTAGAATGGGGAGAGTGATAACAGCAGTATGGAGTCAAAGAATTAATGAATGTTATTAGAGTTATACGCCATTAAATCTGAGAGATTATGAACAAGATGGAAAGTCCATGAGTAATGAAAATAAAAAGAGGCAGTACAAGATTCTCCTTAAAAAATAAAAAATAAAAAAGGAAAGAATAAACCTACCAATTACAAAGCAAGCTGCTTAGAATGATATAGGAGAAGATGCTGAATACTAGGCAGGTCAAACTGTAAATTTACAAAATGTAAGGTAAAATAGTAGTTATAAGATTCTGGATAATGTCAGATTAGTTTAATTTCAGTCTAAGAAATAATGTCAGTTTTTGAGTCACATCTCCACAATTTAAATTCTCTTTATTTTGAGGAGTTTCTTCAAATAGGAATGATGCTACCTACTTACAGGGTATAGCTGTGAAAGTCATATAATATATGTGCAAGAGTTCTGTAAACTGTAAAGCTCTATGCAAATGTTAAATTACTTTAGCACAAGTAAGGAGGAAAAGCATTTGATATGGCTGATCATCCACCAAGGATTTCATTCAG